TCATACTTTTCTCCCTCTACATTTTGCCACTGGTTACTGGGAGCTCCCCGAGGACAGAGACTGTCTCAGTCACCAGTTTCCCTGGCACCCAACATAGGCTTGGCATGGAGTAGGCACTCCAGAGATGTTTGCATATTGAATAGTTTGTCTAAAATATTTGAAGTCAACTTTTCCTTTTGGTTAAGCATCCCATTTTGATTTCAGCTCAGGTCGTGATCTCATGGTTCATGGGATCAAGCCCCACTTTGGGCTCTGCACTGACAGCTTGGAGCCTGCTTGGGATTCTCTCTCTCTGCCCCTCCCCTGCTCATTCTTTTTATCTCTCTCTCTCAAAATAAATAAATGAACTTAAAGAAAAAAACAGTTGCATGCTCTACTGACTGAGCTAGGCAGGCACCCCACATTTTACTTTTCTTTATCTTTCTTGATCTTGCTCCAAGTACATATCATCATCCTTCTGCTTTCCTAATTTACCCACCATGCCCCTTCTAGACTTTTTTCAAAACATATCAGCCCTGTCTGAGTCTCTCATGTGTCTTCATACTCGCCCTCGCTTTTTCTCAGACTCTGTATATGCCCCATCCACACCTACCCCAGCATTCTATACACCAGGCTCCTAACTGTTGTAATGCCGTATTTCTGCCCCTGGACCACAGGCCTCTGCCATCCAATAGTTTACTCCACAAGGAGCATTCTCTGTGCCCAGCCTCCTGTCCCGAGTCCTCAACTTCTATTCAGCAAGCTCCGTTGTTTTCAAGAATCGGGTTTCTTTTGTGCTTTGCCCATATGTCATTACCTGTGTTTTACACTTCCTAAGTTCTCCTTCCTCAAGAACACTGGTTTCCACTAGACTTATAGGGGTGCTCATTTAGCAATATATACAAATATCAAATCATTATGCTGTACACCTGAAACTTATACAGTGTTATATGTCAGTTATATCTCAATAAAAAAGAAACACTGATTTTCTTGAATGTGCTTGGATTTTCAAAGGGATTCATCTGTATCACTGAATGATATTCATTCATTCATCAGGTGTGTCAGGCACTTTGCTAGATGCTGGAGATTCAAAGTGAAGAGGGGTTTTTCACCCTTGGGAAATTCATAGACAAATGGGGAGAGAGCAACATTAGCAAATTATTATAAAGATGGTATCAGTGTTGAATGAGGGTATTGAATGAATTAAGAGAAAAGGCACTGGAATCATCTGAGTGATTCTATTACTTAAAATGATATGTTACTTAACTTTCTGTTTCTGTATCTTGATTTCTTTGCCTGTAAAAATAGAGCTTCCACAAGGTTATTGTGCTGTTTACTGAGGGCTTTTATGTTGTTGTTGTGAGTCCAGCACTGTTCTGGATACAGAGGAGAGGTGCCTGACACCTAGTAAGTGACCACCGTTAGCTGTAATCACTATTGTTACCATCTCTGCTTAGGCCTCTTAGAGGAAGTGACATTTTAATTGTCCACTGGGGATGGGTCTGTACTAGAAGGAGGGTAGGGAAGGACAGCTTGGGCAGAAGCAATAGGCTGAGAACAGACACAGGAATGAAAAATGGTGTTTTCAGAAATTGGGGAACAGTCCAGAGTAGCTGGAGGGTGGGGTGTGTGTAGGAGAACAGTGAGAGGTGGTAAAGCTGGAGAAATAAGACCCAGATCGTGAAGGGCCTTGTTTGCAGTTGGAGTTTGGACTTAATCCAATAGATGAAATAGAACCATCAGAAATGTTTAAAGAGAGGCCTGTCACAATCTAATCTGTTTTAGAAGGATCCTTTTGGTACTTCTCTGGAGAACTAGAAGGGAGGAGACTAGGGAGACCACTGGGGAGGAGAAGGAAGAGGCTGCTGAAAACTCATGGCAACAATAAGAGCAGGAACTGCAATGGTAGATGTTCCAGAGGTCGACCAGCAGGACATGATGACTGGTGGAAGGAGTGTGAGCGTGGGAGGGGTGAAGGATCACTGCAGTAACGAGGGACATGTTGATTCTACTCACTGGTAGAGAATAGCAGAAGGAACAGGTTTTTCCTTCCTATTGATTTCATCTAAGGAAGGAAGACTGCTTCTTCCTGATCCAGGGAGCAAGTCTCTGAAACTCATGAGTCTGTTCTATGATGCTATGAGACTTTTCTTCTCTCTTGGCCCTTATAGATAGTCAGCTGCTTCAGACAAGTAATTACTGAGCTCAGGCAATCAGGGTAGGAGGTGGCTGTGTTTATTTCACTCCCTGGTGTCATGTGTTTGTTTTCACATTTGTAAGAATGGATAGAGTTAGAACATTAGCCTCCCTCCTCAGGCCTCTTTCTCTTGCACCCCAGTCTCTGTAGAAAGTCATGTTAAATTTAAAGTTCTTTTCCATTTTTCCCCTCCCTTAGCTGGTTTCCCACACAATGCCATTCAGATTTTTGGCCAAGTCAGAGAATCCTGAGCCCACCTTAGCTGTCAGACTCCAGAACAGCACCTTCCCCATCACTGCCATCTCCCTATCTCAGAATTGACCTGGTTCTGGTTCTAGGTGTCGGCAGCTCAGCAGGAATGTGGGGGCCTCTGCTGGTGGCACAGCTTGGCTGGGCATGATCCTGTCCCTGCTCAGTCATGTTTATAAGTACCCTGGACACAAGACATCATGCCCGGCACTGATCAGCAGTGCAAAACAGCTCAGCCCTTAGAATTCTGTCCTTGGTCCTTCACTTCCAGCTTCCTCCATTTTCTGCCCTCCTGCCACTTTCTTTCAACCAGGAATTGTTCCTAGCTAATGAGTTTCCTTGGTTTCAGGGATGGAGCCCTCAAAAAGTTCTCTTCTCTCCAATCACTCTCCTGTAAAGTAGTAACATTCATAACTCTCTTCTTCCAAGGTGCCTCTTAGATGTTTCAAGGAAATAGACTACTTTGGTAGGCAAAAAATCCTATGGATCATCTCCTTCTGTTTGTTTCTGGAGGTGGTTTGGCAGAGGATAAAACTCCTCAAACTAAGTGGAGTTACTAGTTCTTCCTTTAATGAAACACCATTGAGAGGATATGTTATTTCCGGTAAACAGTTGACCCCACACTAATGAGAGTGACCAAGAGTCCTGTCAATTATGAAACATCATTGTTATAAGATACCAGCCTCCGACTATCAAACACTCTCCTGATTTCTGGGCTACTTTGAAACCTCTGTTACTAACTTGGGTTCTCTAGCCTTGGTTTTAGGGTACTCCGTTGTCTAAAATACCTGAAAGAGAATAGCTTTGTTTTTCTAAAAAAGAAATCAGTTTTTTCTTATGACAAAAACAAAGCATGTTCATTATAGAAAACTTATAGGGGCACCTGGGTGGCTCAGTCTGTTAAACGTCAGACTGTGACTCAGGGCATGATCTCATGGTTCATAGGTTCAAACCCCACATTAGGCTCTGTGCTGACAGATTCTGTGTCTCCTGCTCTCTCTGCCCCTCCCCCACTTGTCCTCTATCTCTCTCTGTCTCTCACAAGTAAATAAAACATTAAAAAAAATTTTTTTAAAGAAAACTTAGAAAATACAAAGAAGCAAAAAATTAAAAAAAATATATTTGTAATCCAACCACTGAGAAAAAAATCCCTGCGAACTTTGGGTCTCATCTTTTAGTCTTTTTTTTAAATTTATTTATGCATGTGGTTTTATTTTTTTAAGTTTATTTATATTTATTTTGAGAGAACATGCACACAAGGGAGGGGCAGAAAGAGAGAGGGAGAGAGAGAATCCCAAGCAGGCCCTGTGCTATTCGCACAGAGCCCAGTGCAGGGCTTGAGCCCATGAATTGCAAGATCATGACCTGAGCTGAAATCAAGAGTCAGACACTTAACTGAGCCACTCGTAGGCACTCCCTGCATGTTTACTTTTAAAAGAGATCATAGTACATATCTCTTTCGTAACTTTCAGTTAATAGGATTTTATAAATATCTTTCTATGTCATTGCAAATTTGTTATAACATCATATTTAATAATTCCATAGTGGGCCATTTTATGTAGGGAATGTGGAAATTATTAATAAAAATTAATATACTCTAATATAACATATGACCTGAAGATAGTACATAAGGAAAGAGTATTGTAAAATAGGGATGGGTTTTGGGGTGCCTGGGTGGCTTAGTCGGTTAAGCGTCCGACTTTCGCTTAGGTCATGATCTCGCGGTTCGTGGGTTCGGGCCCCGCGTCGAGCTCTGTGCTGACTGCCAGCTCAGAGCCTGGAGCCTGTTTCAGTCTGTGACTCCCTCTCTCTCTGACCCTCCCCTGCTCACGCTGTCTCTCTCTCTCTCTCTCTCCTAGAAATAAATAAAAATATAAAAAAAATAAAAACAAAAAAATAAAATAAAATAAAAAAACTAAAATAAAGAAAAAGAGGCGGTTAGACCTAGTTTCAGTTCCTGATTCTGCCATCCTTTATCTGTGTTACTTTGGGCCTTTTAGTTAATCTTCCTAAAAAACATTCCTCATCTCAAAAAATGAATAAANCAGCTCAGAGCCTGGAGCCTGTTTCAGTCTGTGACTCCCTCTCCCTCTGACCCTCCCCGGCTCACACTGTCTCTCTCTCTCTCTCTCTCCTAGAAATAAATTAAAAAAAAAACTAAAAAATTTAAAAAAATAAAATAAAATAAAATAGGGATGGATTTCATAGCTCTGAATCGCTTAAGCAATAATTGTGGGCTTAGTTGATAAATTAAATTGGACATGGATGTTAATAGACTTGATCCCTTTATTCATCTTTAGGCCAGCCAGAGTTTTGTGAAATCTTTCTTGGTCTGAAAATTTTACAGGAAACTTACTTGAGGGCTCTCAGTTTGCTAAAGGTAAATGGTTTTGAGTTCCTAGGTTTCCTTTCATGGGAAATCAATCTGTGAGTTTGCATAGCACCTTGTGCACCAGGAGACATTTGACAAGAGTTTATTTGACCAGTTACAGAAAGTTTCTTGCTTCTGAGACTTGATAAGTCTAATCCTGACTGATAAAGCTGGATTATTCCATATATTTTTTTCTTTTTACAGGTAGTGCCTTCCTCAGTGCTATTTTTCTTGCCTTAGCAACATACCAGTCTCTGTACCCGCTCACCTTGTTTGTTCCAGGACTCCTCTATCTCCTGCAGGTAAGCACTTGCTGGTCAGAAGCCAACACTCAAGTGACATTTAATACATGGCCCAGTCACTGCCTGGGGCAGCGAAGGGCATGGCTCAATAAAGGCAATGGGACGGGGTCCCTATCTCACATCTACTTGCTTCTACTTGAAAACACAAACAAAAAAACTTGACTAACTTTAAACAAAATGGGCCTAGTGACCATTAAGTTCTAATTATGCATATCATTGCAAATGTTTAAGTTTATTTTATTTTATGTGTGTAGTTGGAATCGACCAACCATCTTTCATTTTCCCTCTTCCATCTAATATTCATAGACCCCTCTCTGAGCTCATGTTTAAAAAACTTTTCTGTATAACAACACTCATCTTGTAAGGTTCTTGTAGGGATTAAACGTTGTGGGTGTACCTAATAAAGTACTGGGACCATGGTGAGTGATCAGTAAATATTAATTGAAGAATACAGATTGCTGATATTTACTGAGAACTTACTATGTCCAGCACTATACTGAGGCACTCTGCAGGCACCATTTCACTTCAACCTCATAAGAACTTTTGAGGTAGGTCATATTATTAGCCATGTATTAGTCTAATATTAGCCATAATACACCCATGAATTGCAACTGGAATATTGTCAGCATAGTCACTTGCCTAAGGTGACATGGCCAGCAAGTGACAGTGCTGAGATATGAACTCAGGAAGCCTGTTGCAAGAGCTTGCCCTCTAACTGTCTGCCTTTTTCACACCAATGAGAATACACACATCTCCTCAAGAGCAGGTAACCAATTGCAGGTCCTACATGGTCCAAATCCATTTTTAGGAGAGAAATGTTTCTTGAAAGTATAGAGAGGCCAGTGCCACAATTCAAACCAAGAAATGTCTGATTTCAGAGCCTTTGTTCTTAATTATCAACACTGTTGCTGGGGTGCCTGGTGGGTCAGCCAGTTAAGCGTCCAACTCTTGATTTCCGCACAAGTCATGATGATCTCATGGTTCATGAGTTTGAGCCCCATGTTGGGCTCTGTGCTGATGGTATAGAGGTATGGAGTCTGCTTGGGATTCTCTCCTCCTCTCTCTCTCTGCCCCACACCCTCTCTATCTCAAAATAAATAAATAAACTTAAAAAAAAACAAAACACTGTTGCTAAAACTGAGTGTATTCCTCCATTTATTGAAATAGGCTATATGCTTGTCATTTTAAGTGACTTCATAGTATGTCTTTGTGTTGATGTACACAGTGATTCATGATTAGCTTGGTCTTCATCCTGTTTGGGGAATTTGAGGTATGCCCTGATTGTCATTGATATAAATAGTATAGAAATTTAGTTTTCTTTGAGTTATTTCCTTAAAGTATGTACCTCCAGCTGACTCACTGGACCCACAGGTGTGAGAAGTTTCATAGTCCTTATTATGCAAGGCCAGAGTGTTTACCAAAAAACCTGAGCCAATTTGCAGTGCCACAGAAAGTGTCTAGAGTGCAATGAACCACGGGCGCCTGGTTGGCTTAGTTGGTAGAGGATGCAACTCTGAATCTCAAGGTTGGAAGTTTGAGCCCCATGTTGTGTGTAAAGATTACTTTCAAATAAAATCTTTAAAAACAATAAAACAAAGTGCAGTGAACCATTTCCTCCCAGGCTGCCAGCACTGGCTTTTCAAATTTGAGTTATGATTGCTAGTCTGATAGATGTATCATCACACTGTGATTTTGCTTTGATTCTCTTTCTAGATTCTTGTTGAATCCAGGAATTTTTCTACATAACAGTATACTGTTTGCATGTCCTTTATTACTTCATATTTGCAGTTCATTCTCTAGAAAGTCTGAGCACTAAGAGGAATGCATACAACCACATGGGCTCAGTTCCACAACCCTGAGATCATGACTGGAGCCAAAATCAAGAGTCAGGTACTAAACCGACTGAGCCACCCAGGTGCCCCAGTGAAGCTTTTTTACAATAAACAAGGAACAACTAAAGGAGGAGAGAGTTGGGACTTAATGACCTTCTAGAATGATTTGTGTGAACTGCTTTGTGCTTGCTTGCTAGTGAATATTTGTTTAATAAATTTTGTTAAGTTATGCCAGAATCTAGTCTGGAACTTGCTTTCTTTGCAGCAAGATTATAGAATGAGAGCTAGGGGCGCCTGGGTGGCTTAGTCGGTTGGGCGTCCGACTTTCACTTGGGTCATGATCTCACGGTTCGTGGGTTCGAGCCCCGCGTCGGGCTCTGTGCTGACTGCCAGCTCAGAGCCTGGAGCCTGTTTCAGAGTCTGTATCTCCCTCTCTCTCTGACCCTCCCCTGCTCACGCTGTCTCTCTCTCTCTCCTAGAAATAAATAAAAATACTTAAAAAAAAAAAAAATAGAATGAGAGCTAGCCCTCAACCCCCTGACTTCTTTCACTTCTTTCTTTTTTTCTTTTTAAATTCTTTTTAAATTTTATTCATTTGAGAGAGAGAGAGGGAGAGCACAAAGTGAGGGAGGGTCAGAGAGAGGGAGAGACAGAATTCGAAGCAGGATCCAGGCTCTGAGTTGTCAGCACAGAGCCCGATGTGGGGCTCGAACCCTCGAACCGTGAGATCATGACCTGAGCCAAAGTCAGACACCTAACCGTGTGACCCACCCCAGATGCCCCTTCTTTCACGTCTTTCAAGGCAACTGGTAAAGAACCTGAATTGCATACTTTAAAATAGTTAAACATGTGGTATGTGAATTTCACCTCAAGAAAGAAAAATCCGGGGCGCCTGGGTGGCTTAGTCGGTTAAGCATCTGACTTTCGCTTAGGTCATGATCTCGTGGTTCGTGGGTTCGAGCCCCACATCAGGCTCTGTGCTGACTGCCAGCTCAGAGCCTGGAGCCTGTTTCAGTCTGTGAGTCCCTCTCTCTCTGACCCTCCCCTGCTCACGCTGTTTCTCTCTCTCTCCTAGAAATAAAAAAAAAATAGAAAGAAAAATCCAATACTAATATTAGCTTTTTGGTCAAATTTTTCTAGCTTTGACCATTGGGGGCTCTGTTAGATTGGCATTTGTGTTCTTTTGACAGCCTTGTCTTCTTGAGCTTTTCTTTTGTTTCTTTCTGGTCCCACAAGATGTTCCAGGTTCATCTTGTATTTTACGTGATCCAGCCCTGGAATCAACTACTTCTTCAAGGACTCTTGGTTGCCTTTATTGGTGAAAGCTATTGAGAAACCAAGGGTTATAGGTCCGCTTATTGTTATCAGGGCAGCATTGCTTCTAGCAGACAGCTGTGAAGGACATGCATGTACACTAACCCTGCCCCTACATCTGTAATTCTTTTTCTGTCTCTTCATACTAATACCTGTTTATACTGATACCTATGATTCCAGTTTGACACCACAGGGTTCACTTTAGTCTCTCCCTTGTCCTTGTGTATAATTTCTTCCTCTAATGGTTGGAAGCCCAACTTTCATTATCTGCAGTATATTTGCTAATATGTTCCATTCTAAAATATACATAGAATGGTTCTAGAATTTCTGTGAGAAGTACTCAGGTCAGAAATCTATGTAGTGGGGCGTGCCCAGCTGGCTCTGTCGGTGAAGCATGTGACTCTTGATCTTGGGGTCATGAGTTCGAGCCCCATGTTGGATGCAAAAATTAAATAAATAAATAAATAAATCTATCTTTTTAAAAAAGAAATAGATCTACTGACTTGACTATAATACGTATGTGTAGTTTTTTTTGTCTTTAGCATTACAGAATTCTGTCAGGTTACTGTTTCTTAAAGTCACTCAGGTTAGTTTCTTCTCCCATGTGACTCTTCAATGTAGGTATCTTATTAATTTGACATATAATTAGGCTCATTTATTACTGCTTGTATTAATTTGGATTCCCCCTACACCTTGGTTGATTTTAGTTTTTTTGTTTTTTGAGAGGGTATGTGAAGAGACTAAGAAATTTTGCTATGGTTCTAAGAATCAGCTATACAAAAGCCATATATTCAGAGAAGTATTACCTTGCCCTCATCCCTGCTATCTTGTTCTTTTCTTTTTCTTCCTTTGTCACCCCAAGTAACTGTTTTTAGTTTCTAGTTTATCCTTCCTGTATTTCTTTTCCACAAATAAGCAGATACATGTGTATTTCCTTCTTTCTTATATGAAGGATAGCATATGTTAGGTATTCTTTTGTGCTTTGCTATTTTTACTATTATTTCCTGGAATTCAATGCATATTGATACTTAGAGATCTTTTTTTTACAGCAGCATAGGACTCCATTATATGGACATACCGCAGTTTATTCAACTTTTCTCCTTTGTATGGAAATTTAGATTGTTTCCAGTATTTTGCTATCACAATTAATGCTTTAATGAGTAACCTTGCTTGTATGTATTTTTGTTTTGTCGGAGGGATATCTTCAAGGTAGATTTCTAGAAGTAGAATTACTGGATCCAAGGGTAAGTATATATGTAGGGTTTTTTATAGGTCTTTTTAAATATCCCTCCACAAGGATTGTGTCTATTTTTCCATAGCCTTGCTAACAGAATGTGTTGTCACATTTAAGAATTTTGCCAGTCTAATTCTGAGAAATGGTATCTCAGTGTTGTTTTAATTTGCATTTTTCTAAATATGAGTGAGTTTGAACATTTTTTTCGTATTTGTGAATTGTCTATTCATTTTCCCCCCTCATTTTTTGGTTGCATTTTGATCTGTTTTCCCTCCATTTTGAAGAATCCTTTATATATTAGGAGTATTAACCCTTTGCAAATATTTCCTTCTAATTTTTCATGTCTTTTGACTTATTTATGGCGTTTTTCTTTTAACATCTTTTATTTTTTATTAAGATATAATTTATATACCATACAATTGACCTATTTAAAGTATACAATTAAGTGATTTTTAGTATATTTACAGAGTTGTGTAGCCATTACCACAATCAGTTCTAGAACATTTTTATAACCCAGAAAGAAACCTATGCCTGTTAGCAGTCACTGTCTACTTTTCTCCAGTTCCCCTTTCCCCTCTAGCCCTAAGCAACCAGTATTCTGCTTTTTGTCTTTCTACCCTGTCCCGGACATTTCATATAAATGGAATCATACAATATGTGGTCTTTTATGACTGATTTCTTTCACTTAGCATGATGTTTTCAAGGTTCATCTCTATTTTAGCATGTGTTAGTGCTTCATTCCTTGCATGTTTATATTTCCATATAAACCTTAATCTTGTAGCATTCCATAAAATAGCTTGTTGGCATTTTTATTGGGATTGCATTATTGTACTGAATTTTTTTATGTTTCAAATTTTTAAATTCTAGTTAGTTAACATATAGTGTAATATTGGTTTCAGGAGTAGAATTTAATGATTCATCACTTACATAAACCACCAGTGCTCATCACGACAAGTACCCTCCTTAATACCTATCATCCATTTAGCCCATCCCCCACCCATCTCTCCTCCAGCAATCCTTAATTTATTCTTTGTAACTAAGAGTCTCTTGGAGCACTTCAGTGGCTCAATTGGTTAAGCATCTGACTTCAGCTCAGGTCATAATCTCATGGCTCATGAGTTCGAGTCTCACGTCAGGCTCTGTGCTGACAGCTTAGAGCCTGCTTCAGATTCTGTCTCCTCTCTCTGCCTTTCCCTCACTCATGCTCTGTCTCTCTCTCAAAAATAAATATACGTTAAAAAAAAAAAGAGTCTCTTGTGGTTTGCCTGTCTCTTTTTTTCTTCCTTCCCCTATGCTCACCTTGTTTTATTTCTTAAATTCCACACATGAGTGAAATCATATGATATTTGTCTTTCTCTGACTGGCTTATTTCGCTTAGCATAATACACTCTAGCTCCACTCACGTCATTGCATATGGCAAGATTTCATTCTTTTTGATGGCTGAGTAATATGATTTCTTATTTTTAAACTGTTGGTGATACATATATTAATAACTTTTCTTATGTTGAATTAACCTTGAATTTTTAAATAAATTCAACCTAGTTATAACCCACTTTTAACATGTATTGCTGAATTATATTAGGTAATTTTCATTTAGCATTTTTGTATTCATGTTGGTAAATGGTTGTGATATCAAGTTTATGATATTTGCTGTGAAAGAGTTAATGTAAGATTAGAATCACCAACTTCTTGAATGTTGTTAGAACCTTCCTGTAAAACTGGCTGGGCCTGCTTTTTTTTTTCTTCCAAGTTTTTATTTAAATTCAAGCTAATTATCATATAGTGAAGTATTGGTTTCAGGAGTAGAATTTAGTGATTCATCACTTACATATAACACCCAGTGCTCATCACAACAAGTGCCCTCCTTAATGCCCATCACCCCTTTAGCCCATCTCCTCACCCAGTTCCCCTTCACTAACGCTCAGTCTCTATAGTTGAGGATCTCTTACAGTTTGCCTCCCTCTCTGTTTTTACCTTGTGTTATTTTTCCTTCCCTTTCCCTGTGTTCATGTTTTGTTTCTTAAATTCCACATATAAGTAGAGTCATATGGTATCTGTCTTTCTCTATCTGACTTATTTTGCTTAGGGCCTACTCTTTATGGGAAAATTTTTCACTACTAATTCAGTTTCTTAAATGCTTATAGGACCATTCAAATTTTGATTCTTCTTTAATTAGTTTTTCCCTAATTTTTTATTTCATGCTTTAGAAAAGTTGAAAGACTAGTATAAGTACCTTTTATTTAAATTACCCAGTTACCATTTTGCCACATTTTCTAATAATTTTTTAATTTTTTTTTTATTTATTTCTGAGAGAGAGAGAGGCAGTGTGAGCAGGGGAGGGTCAGAAAGAGAGGGAGATACAGAATGTGAAGCAGAGTTTTGCCACATTTCTATATCTCTGTGTATATACAGATTTTCTTCCTTCCTCCCTCCCTCCCTCCCTCCCTCCCTCTCTCTCTCTCTGCTCCTTACCTCCCCCCTCCAATACATAAATAAACTTTTAAAAAACTTTGAAAAGAAAGTGTGCTATTCATGTTTCCTACTTGGTTACTGATTGTTGTCTGTTTGATCCATCAGTTATCTACTGATGATGGTTATGTCTGTTTTTCCTTTGTAGCCCTGTCCATGTTTGTTTTATACATTTGAGACTGTGTTATTAGGTACATACAAGTTTAGAGTTGTTATATCTTTCTGATAAATTGTACCTTTTATCATTATGGAACATCTTTATTTCTGTAATACTTTTTATATCAAAATTTATTTTATCTGGTAATAGTATAGTTAAACTCATTTTCTTTTGGTTAGTGTTTACCTAGCATAAATAAATCCTTTTCAGTCCTTTGATTTTCCATTTTTCTGTGCCCTGTGCTTTGCAGAAGGGATCTTGAAGTTTAAGCTGATAACTTCTTTCTGTCCTTGACATCCCTAAATGTACCATTTTGCCCTCTTTCCTAGCGGCAGTATATACCTGTGAAAGTGAAGAGCAAAGCCTTCTGGATCTTCTCTTGGGAGTATGCCATGATGTACGTGGGAAGCCTAGTGGTAATCATTTGCCTCTCCTTCTTCCTCCTCAGCTCCTGGGATTTCATCCCTGCAGTATATGGTTTCATGTAAGTAATGACTTCATTATAAAACTCTGGAAGCTAATTTGTTTTTCACAGCTCCAGGTGGAATCAGGGTGAGCAACCACAGAGAGCATCAAGATTCAGGGGTCCTTAAACTTCAGTGTACACCAGAAACACCTGCAGGACTTACTAACACTCAGATTTTTGGGCCCCGCCCTTAGAGGTTTTGATTAAGTAAATTTGGGATAGGAACCAAGAATTTACGTTTCTCATAAGTTTTCGTGTGATACTGATGCTGCTGGTCCAGGGAAGAACAGACTTTAAGAACCATGGGTCTAGTGTGTACCCTTGATCCTGTGAGATTAAAGAGCACTCTCTAGGAACATCTGAAGCAACTACCAGCCTCTGCCTGGAAGGGTTTGGTTCAGTCCCAAACAGGAATGGATATATTCCTCTACTGCAAGAGGGTCTCTGACAGTTTTAAAATAAAGCCACCTCCCATGGGTCAACTTTTAGAGAAGATCAAAATGGAGTATGAATTCTGCAAATGTTTCCCAGTACTCTCTGTGTGTTATGCTGAGTAGGACAGGATGGTCTCTGGTCAAACCTCAGGGAACTCACAGGCCAGTGAGTTGATAGACAGTTAAATCTGTCAGGGTGGGGAAGGGATCTGGAGGGGCAGACTCCTCTTTGGAATTTTGGAATTCTGCACTGCTATTTGTGTTAAATCCTGGCTGAGGATAACCTGTAGCTCTTCATGCTGAGCCTTAGATAGGAGTTTGTAATGCTGGTGAAAAGCTCTTCCTGGTTTTTGCTGGCCCACAGATTGTGTTCTTTACCTCATTTCACAGAAAAGGAAATGTAGTCACAGCAGGAGGCAAAGACTTGCCCTGGGTGGAGGCCTTGGTCAGTGCACTCTGACCATGAACCATTGCGTATTTCTGCCTTCTTCATGCTCCACTTAAAATCATTGCCCTCTTAAAATCATGAATTGACATCACTTTCAACTCAGTGTTTTTGAAAATAACACATATAATGTAAGTTTTAGAAGAGCCAGAATTGCAACCGATCTATTTGATCGAACTAGACAAAAAGTTTTCCAGTGAAACCTTTATTTCTCAGACGAGATCTGGGATCCTGGCTGGAACTTGCCGATGCTTCCTCAAGCTCCCAGAAGTCACCATGGTGTCAGGCACTCAGTCTCTGGCGCCTGCTATTGGGATGTGGAGCAAGAATGGGGAGCAGCAGGAGCTTGAGCTCACTCCTCTGGGCAAGTCTTCGGAATGCCCCAGATATTGTTTGTTTAAAACCCATTCCTCTCTTGTTATATCTTGGGTATCTCCTAAATTTAAACATATGTATTTTAGGCAGTAAAAGAGGGGCTAGTCTTTTGACTTCTAGCCCGAATCATGTCTCATTTCAGATCTTTGATGCATGCCAGAGTTTGGTTCAGCTGATACTTGTTATGGGTTATCATTCTGTTTCTCTGCCCCTTATTAATTGGAGGGCCCCTCACATCCTCATCACAGTGGGGATAAAGTAGTCTTCAGCTGCCCAGAGTGACCAAAATCTTTAGGAGAAAACCAGGTCAAGGCAGACCATTTAAAATTTGGCTCTGTTTTTTCTCCCTCTTTGTTTTCTTCATTCCAGACTTTCTGTTCCAGATCTCACTCCAAACATCGGTCTTTTTTGGTACTTCTTTGCGGAAATGTTTGAGCACTTCAGCCTCTTCTTTGTATGTGTGTTTCAGATCAACGTCTTCTTCTACACCATCCCCTTAGCCATAAAACTAAAGTAAGTGGTTGGATGTGCTGCTTCTTTGTCCACATAGCCATTTGTAGTCTTACAGGCTCCTTTCAAACTGGAAGCATCCTCTCTCGGGTTTATGCCATCTTTGCCCAGGGAACCCTACCCTTAATGGCCTCAGGTGCCAGTAGCCATAGCCAGCAGTAGAGTCACACATGAGTGCAGGCTGCAGGGAGCACCCTGAACTAACTCACTATTTTGATAGAGGAAGGGTTTGGAATTATAAGGAGTCTTTAGAAAAAGTGGATCTTATTGGATGTCCTCCACGAATAGCCCAGTGACAGTGGGGACTGAGAATGTATTAGTTGGGAGGTTGGCCACCTACACCTCTGTTTAATCTTCTCATCAATTTCCTTTAAGGCTTATTACACTTTCTGCAGTGTAAGAAAGCTAACATGTATTGAGCCTGGCTCCATCCCAGCCTTTTTTAGGTTTTCTGAAATGTATTTATACCTAACTGTTCTGGCACTTCTTAGAAGTAGGCATCATTTTATTATCATTACTCCCATTTTATAGTTGAGGAAATGGACATTCAGAGAAGTGGAGTGATTTTCCCAGAGTCACACAGCTAGTAATTAGTGGAGCTGAGATTGAAACCAAAGTTTGTCTCTAAAATCTATACTCATCCCCTTGCACCATGCCAAACTCCTGTGAGAGATCCCTGGAAAATGTTCTATTATCAGAACAGGGAAAACAGGCACGGAAGCATACAAATACACATTGATGGTCCAGAGAACCTGGAAGAAAGTTTAGTTTGGATTTCAAGAGCCTGAGTTCTCTGTTCTAATCTTCCTGCCAGTCTTCATGGCCAGTATACCAATGCAGATGGTTCCCATTCTGTAAAAGCTCAGAGTTCATGCCTCCTTCCCTTGATATACCCTTGGCCTGGCATCTGACAGAAAACTTGGCTTGGCAGTCTCCGGAACTCTGGCAGCCTTGCCCAGCCGAGCTCTCCAGTTATCTGTCATCCCTGGTCTCTGCCCTTGTTCTGGTCAGGCCTAGCCACTGGGCTAAGAGAAGCTGGGAGCCTGGAACACCTTTCCTCACTCTGTAGCACCTTTCATTGTCTGCATGGGAAAGGCTACAGGTGCCTCTGGGTAGACAACAGCAGCGCCATCACATGATCCCCACCTCTGCCCACCACAGGGCCTCAGGGTTGTGGGGACAGAGGATATGAAGTGACTTTCTCTGCTGCTGACTTCCTGTGGCTGGATCTGAAGCTCCACTGACTCTCCAGCCCCTGCAGTGTTTGCTTCGAGTGCCAGCTTTGTGGGAACAGGGCCCTTCTGACCAACTCTCCCTAGACATCATTGCAGGGGCTTCTGGTCTCCATGTTTCTTGTCACCGGATTTTCACTGGCCTTTTCATAGGCCATGAAGCTCTTCATGCAGCTCTTACCAGCTACCTAAAAACCCCATAGCCAGTGATATGGATTGTTTTTAGGAAGATGCTCACTGAGCTAGCTGGACCCTTTGAGAGCCTACAGGACTGAGACTTGCCAAGCTGAGTCTGAAGCATTTGTTGTGTAAAACTGCTGGAGGTTTAGGGTGTGTACATGTTTGTGTCCACATCTCAGATTTACACCCACTGAGTCACCCTGACCTTTGACCTGCAAGACATGACTGCCATTAATCTCTGAAGAAAGCCTTTATGAGCTGGGCATCCAGGTACTATGCAGAAGTAGTCCACATGCATGTTGTTTAGGTACAGCTGGGGAGGATGTAGATCTGGCATCTTCCTGTTGGCTTCCTTATAGCACTTGGTCAGCCCTCGGAGGAACACTGGAGATTGAGTTCTGTCCCCACCCTTCCTGACCAGAGCTGTGATCATGCTAGGCACTCAGGAGAAAAGTCTTGGTGCTGCTCAAGAGTTCTGGATATAAACAGCTCCACTGCTTACTAACTCACTTACCTTCTCTGAACCTGTTTCCTCATCTGCAAAGTATGGGTGATGATATTGCCTACCTCGAGGAGTAGCTGAGGTGTAGTGAGGATCCTATGTGATAGCACAAGGAGAGGGCCTAGGACTTGTCACAGTGTGAGGGTCTAGGAAATACTAGCTGTTTTTGTTGGTTTTAGGTAACAAAACTCTAGTTCCATCCCATAAGCACTGAAAAGCTGCCTGCAGCTCTCAGTTCTCTTTCCAGAAAGGAGCTCATCATAATTAAGTGTCTGTAGACTCCACTGACCATACTGTCAGAGAAAAAGAGCATCAGCAAGGAGTCACTTCCTGCCCTGGGGTGTGGGTGTCAGAGGGGCCTCTAGCAAGGGAGGCTGCTGATTACACTGACGACCAGCCATGAAAGCCCCGTAATGAAGCTGACTTCATTTGTTTTCTTCCTCAATGGCTCCTGGCGCGGGGGTTGGGGGGGGGGGGTGGGGAAGGCCCAGAACTGGGGGGGAAGGTCCAGAACTAGGGGAGTGGTGGGCAATGGGCTGTTTCTCTAGTGTTTGCTGGTCCTTCCTCATCACCTCTGGGCATCTCTGGGATCCTGTGGTTTTCTGCTCTGCTACTTGTCTGGCTCCATGTCTTATGGGTAACAAAGCCAGCTCCTGCCTGAAGTCCACTTGAGAGTATTTTGGGGTTCGAGGGATGGGGTCAGGAGTCTCGGGTGCACCTGGCCCCTGACTGATCTCTCCCTCTCTGCCTGCCTGCCTCACCCCACCCCAGGGAGCACCCTGTCTTCTTCATGTTCATCCAGATTGCCATCATCTCCATCTTCAAGTCCTACCCAACAGTGGGGGACGTGGCCCTCTACATGGCCTTCTTCCCTGTGTGGAACCATCTCTACAGATGTGAGTACTCCAGCCTCTAAACTTATGGTGGCAGATTTGTGTCAGCCTGGTCCCTGGATAAAACAGCCGGGGAAAAAGAGATTGATAGGCATTTGCTTGGCATCTGCTGTGCTAACAGCACCGGGAGAGAGGGAGTGACATGAGGCAGTATGTACCTGCTGGGTAGTGATGGTAATAAAAATAGCTACCCTATTTTGAGTACTCAATACCTACCTGGCCACTGTTGGTTCTAGGAGTGTTACATGCATTAGGTCATTTTATCTTCACACCAGCCTTGGAGGGAAAATAACACCATTTTGCAGATAAAACTGAGGTACAAAAGGTAGAGCCATTTGTTCAAGATTACATGACAGGTAAGTGGAAGGGCTTGCCATGAGCCGATAGCTAGTGCTGTCCAGTAGGCATTTCTGTGATGATGGGAATGTCCTGTATCTGCAGTCTAATAGTATAGCCACTGATATGGCTAAGAAACTGAATTTTTTTGAAGATTTTATTTATTTAAAAAAATTTTTAGTGTTTATTTTTAAGAGAGAGAGAGCGAGCAGGGGAGGGGCAGAGAGAGGGAGACACAGAATCCTAAGAATGCTCCAGGCTCAGAGGTATCAGCACAGAGCCCAATGTGGGGTCGAATTCATGAATTGTGAGATCATGACCTGAGCCAAAGGCAGATGCTTAACCAACTGAGCCACCTATGCGCCCCTGAAGATTTTTTTTTTTTAATCTCTACACCCAGTGTGTAGAGCTCGAACTCACAGCTCTGAGATCAAGAGTCGCAAGCTCTAACAACTGAGCCAGCCAGCGGCCCCAAGAGAAACTGAATTTTTAATTGAAATGTATTTAAATTTAAGAAGTCACACATGGCTGGTAGCTAGCACATTGGACAGTGGAACACTAGACCTTGGTGTTTGAATCATTCCCTAGCACTGCACGTAAACGTTCATAGAAGACCTGTGGCAACACTGGTCATCTGCCTGCTCAGAAGACCTACACAGCTGTAACCATCTCCCCTCAGAAGATGACATACAGTGGCTAGTTATGCTTCCTAGGCCCCCAGTATTTTCCTCTGTTGAGCTTTTAGCCTTCTGGGTGGGTTCTTTTCAGTATTTATGGGCTCCCTGAGGGCAGGCTTATGATTCACTCACCTCTGTGTCCCCAGCATCCAGGATCAGACCTGACCCATACAACTCAGCAGATGTTTTCGGATGGGTTTTTAAGCTAGCAGTTGGGCAGTGTCAGAGCCCAGCACCACTCGATTCTCTAAACTAAAATGGGAAGGGCGATGTGGAATTTTCCTTGCCTGCAGTAAGTACACAGCCAGGTAGCAAGAGTGGGGGAGGGCAGGCTTCCTAGGAAGGAAATCTTTCTTATTGTTTGGGGCTGCCTGGGTGTCAACCAGGAAGTGAAACTGACCAGCTGCTAGAAGGAAACCTACCTGTAATACTGGGCCTTTGAGCTAAGGTAAACAGCAGAGTGGGCGAGCCAGGCAGGCTCTGCTCTTCCAGGTGGTGGTTTGTGGGGCAGTGACCAGTCCGGCCTGACTGGGAGGAGTAAGTAGTGTTTTCTCCCTATGATGTCCTCATTGCGCAGGTAAGAATCACCCAGTCCAGCAGGCTCAGACTCAACCTGGTGCCCCTCAGCAGAGTGCCCAGTGACAAGTCATGAGGCCACCAAACAGGTGGACATGCCCCAGTTTGTGACAGTGTGGGTCTTGGGGACATTGATCCTCTTTCCTCAGAAGTAGAGTCATTTTTTTTCTTAGCTGTCTCTCGCCTTGGTTAATAATCTTTCATCTCATATTGTTGAACACAGTCTGGAGCCAGAAAGACTTGAATCTGGATCCTGGCTTTCCCATTACTAGCGATCTCTTTTTAGGAAATTCATCGAACCTTTCTGATTTTTTTTTTTTAATGTTTTATTTATTTCTGAGAGAGAGAGAGACAGTGTGAGCAGGGGAGGGTCAGAGAGAGAGGGAGACACAGAATCCGAAGCAGGCTCCAGGCTCTGAGCTGTCAGCACAGAGCCTGACGCAGGGCTCAAACCCACGAACAGTGTGATCATGACCTGAGCCGAAGTCAGATGCTTAACCGACAGAGCCACCCAGGCACCCCTCATCGAACCTTTAGGAGTTGGTCGGTTTTTAATGTCAAATGGGGAGAATATCTTCCAGGGGTGTTTTAAGTTTGAGAAAGAATGTATGTAAATAGCACTGCAGTTACAATTAGTATGAAATCATGCAGTGGGGGTTTCCTACATAGTTCCATCATCAAAGTTTCAGGCTTGGTAGAGTCATTCAGGGTCATTGTAATGAACATATTTTTCAAAGCTTGAAATAAGCTATTTTTGCCCTCCAGGGTTGACACAGAGAAAATGAGGATGGGGTTCCCAGAAACCTAGATTATCTTATTAATAAATGCTGTTGCTGGCTGGCTAGGCAAACAGTTTACAGTTCAGCTTGACTGAAGACCCTGCACAGAATGTGGGCTGACCCCTCTCCCCACCCCAATGGCCAGCAACTGTGGCAGAGAATATTCATGCACAGGGTATCTGTTTGGTCCATGACAGCTGTGAGTCATTCAGCCAGGAGCATCTCCAGGCTAGTCCTTTGGACCCATGAGTGGAGACTTTGAGAAGTCTGTGAGTCTAGGGTGAATGTACTCAGACTTGTAATGTGGTTTTAAGAGTTCAGTTTAAACATTAGTTGCCAGTGCTAACATGCCTGCTCACACGTTCACCTTTTGTTTTCCTGTCCTGGCCACCAGGGAGGAGACGAGGTATGTGGGCCCTGCCCAAAGTGTAGGCCCCAGACGCTGGGACTCTGTGGTGCTTGGGGCTGGGATGAGTCATACAGACACGCAATTGCGGTGTTAGGGAACAGCCTGCTGGCAGAGCTGGTACTAGCCTCCACTGGTCCAGCTGAAAGATCCAGTTAGCAAAGCCTAGGTTTGTGTGTGTGTGTTTGTTTTTATTAACTGTTGTATAAAGATAAGAGAATATGGATTAAAAAACCAAATTATAAAGAATAAGAATACAATAAGCAACTTTGAAGCTCCCAGTTTCCCTCTGTGCTCCTGCCAGTTGGACTGGATTCTTCAAGTGGAATTTTATTTCTGAATGACTGAGGCTCAGAGAGGGAAGGTGACTTACCTGAAATTTCAGCTTGTCAGCAACAGAGGCAGAGACTGGATAAGCCACCCCGTGAGTGTAGTGGGGAATCTGATTCCATCTAACCCAGTAAGTCTGGGGAATGGTGAGCCTTTCATCTCATTAGGTCCTGATCATCTCTGACACCTGGTGCCTGGAACAAGCTGTCCTGTGCCCCAGGTCCCAGCTCTATGTGCTCTGGCCTGTCAGCTTTAATCCTCTGGCCTGTCAGCCAGCAAGAGTGAGTAGCAGCTCCCAGTTCTCGCAAAGGTCACCACAGGCCAGAAGCCAACTGGATGCTGGTGACAGTTCCTCCAGGCACATGTGAATGTATCTTTGCAGCTGTTTGTAATTGCAGCCAGGAGCTGCATAGGAGCCTTCCCAGTCTCTGTGCACTTTGTTACCTTCTTGTCACCATCTGAAATCCAGATTGGCTAGAGGCAGGGAAAAAAGGCCTACTTGGGCTGTCAGGTCACAGAAGTTTTGTTTTAGGAATAGTGTATACGTTTTTTAGCAAAATAATTTCCAGGAGATTAGAAAGAACCACTAAGAAATGTAAATAGTGATGTGGGAGTGGAGGAATGGCAAACAGATTTGTTCTTCTGTCTTGAGGTTGTAACATTGTTTAATAATAGTAATTCTCAGTGCATATATCCCTTTTCCCAGACATCTTGTTCTGGGAGCAAAGAGGAGGCTTCCCTACAGCCTCAGGAAGGCTTGAGTCAGGGCTTTACCCTCCCAGCTTTGAAAACCCAGAGTCATGGAACTCTCAGGTCAGAAAAGAGGACCCTGCAAGCTCTCCATGCCAGTGTTTCCAAATTATGGGAGTTCACAGACCACTAACATCTTAACTCTGGTGACAGAGTTGCCAACTTATTTTGCTAAAGACATTAGAACAGTCAACTGCCAGCCATTCATCCCCATTTCATAAAAAGAAAGGACTTAAAAAAAATTTTTTTTTGAGAGAGACAGGGAGAGAGGGAGACAGAATCCCAAGCAGGCTCTATGCTGTCAGCAAAGAGCTGGATGCCAGGCTTGATCTCACGAACCATGAGATCATGACCTCAGCCAAAATCAAGAGTCGGACGCTTAACTGACTGAGCCACCCAAGCGCCCCAAGAAAGAACTTTTTAACAACCACAACCAGCAACAAAGAGATACCTGTCACTTCGCATCAATCTTAAATTCAAAACATTCGCCTTTAACAAGAACTCTGAACTACCTTGTTCTGATTATTGTGACTGTGACACAGACCAGTGAAATGTGTCGCAGACTGGCCCAGACCTCTTACTTGCCAAGGGTCTGCAGCTGTCCTCCCTTGGTTAGAAGTGCTAGCTGCATATTGGATCCACCAGAGAAGCGGTTACAGACTAATATGGATACATAGGCCCCACCCGAGAGAATCTGATTTACTTAGTCCAGGTGGGGCTCCCCCGGTGATTTTATTTTGCATCCAGAATTGAGGATTGCATGTGTAATCCCGTCCCCCTTCTGATGCATGAACCCCTGGTATAGCAGCTCCACCAAGTTTCCATACAGCTGGGACAAGTGACCCGGACTCTTGTTCAGGAGACTTTCCATCTCTGAAATCTCCCCAGACTCTGACTTGGAGAAAGGGATTTCCTGAAGGTCAGGATCAGAGAGGGGAAGGGAGCTTCTGTTCATTAAGTGCCTGCTGGGACCCAGACCCAGTAGTAGGTTGTTGTTTTTTTGAAGGTGTTCTTTTAATTAGTTTATTTTAAATAATACTTATTAGTTTCTTTAAAATACAATAAAGTATAAAGAAAGAAATAAAAATAGCACATAATCCTGTCAGATACCCCTAATTGAGTTAAAAGGTGAGGGGAACCAGTGTTGTAGGCGGAATAATACCCTTTCCCTACAAAGATGTCCACATAATTTCCACAACGTGTGAATGTACTACTTTATGTGCAAAAGGACTTAGAGTTAAGGATTTTCAGATGGGGAAATTAGCCTGGATTTTCCAGGTGGGCCCAGTGTAATCTGCAAGGGCCCTTATAAAGGGGGAAGAGCTGGAGGTGGGAGGCCAGAATGGGAAATCTCTTCCACACAGTTTTGCTGTGAAAACCTGAAACTGTTCTAAAAACTAAAGTCTGTTTTCTAAAAAAAGTGGAAGAGGGAAGCAAAAGAGGAGGTCCGAGTAATGCAGCGTAGGAAGGATTTATTTGGCCTTGCTGGGTGGAGCAGGAAGAGGGGTCGTGAGGCAAGCGCAGGCAGCCTCCTCACTGCAAAGGCAAGTGGGTGGCTTCTGCCCTGGAGTCTCCAGTGGGCACGACATACCTTGATTTTGACCTGTGAGACCCAGAACTGTAAGATAAACTGTATTGTTTAAACTGCTAAGTTTTGGTGATTTGTTACAGCAGCCCCAGAAAGTACTCAGTAATATATCTGTGCCAGGTTTTTCACATATCTTGTTTAATTCATGTAACCCTCCTAGGAAGCAGACCCTATTCTAGCCTTGTTGTAGAGCTCGGGAAGCCGAGACTCCGGGAAACTTGCTGGCAGAGCAGGGATTTTAACCAAGATCTTTGCCTTTCTGAGGCCAAGTTTGGGCCACAGTGTCCTGCTCCTTCCCTCCAGCTGCGCTCTGCCTGCCAGCCAGCCTACCAGCACCGGCACCACGGTGTGCCCTCCCTGGGGCTTTGGGGAGAGCCTCCTCCCTGGTGGGATTCTGCAGTCCCTCTGGGAGTGTGGGGCAGTGATATTAGACAGGGAGGGTGTTGAAAGAGATTTTCAAATCCTCCAAGGAAGAGTGAAGGACATTTGAAAGTAGACAAACAAAGTAGACAACCTAAGAAGGGAGTTAAGGAAAATGGAACGCGTTTTCCTAAGACGCAGGTCTGTGGCACCATGGAGACTCACCGTGGGGCCCTAATCTCCATCGGTTCACGCTGTCCTTGCTGTCCATGATCCCATATGGACAGACAGCACCCTGCTTGGGGTCAGGGGAGGAATTACCCTTAGATACCCCCAGATGGGGGAGCAGAGGGCATTGTCTTGCTGAAATGCCCCCTTTGTGGTGCCCAGAGGCACTCACAGCATTGCCACCTGGTAACCAGCCAGGCCCACAGTGGGAGGTGCAGGGTCCAAACCTAGGACTTCACACCAGCTTTGGGCATGGGGAACCATTGAGTCAAGGGTCTAAGGCTGGCCTCTTGGCACCCCAGAGCCTCTGGATCTGGGGGAGGATTTCTGCCTTTGAGCTACCCCAGGCTCTCCCTGGGCCTCTTCATCCTGTGGGGCCATTCCCATAAGAAAGGGTTCCAAGGAGAATCAGCATTCTGTTAACTGTGACCATCTGTCTTTGCAGTCCTGAGAAACATCTTTGTCCTCACCTGCATCATTATTGTCTGCTCCCTGCTTTTCCCTGTCCTGTGGCACCTCTGGATTTATGCAGGAAGTGCCAACTCTAATTTCTTCTATGCCATCACACTGACCTTCAATGTTGGGCAGGTAAGAGCACTGCATGGGGATTCATTTTGTAGCCTCAGACATTCAACAAAGGCCCTGAGTTCTGCAAACTGGCGGTTTGGGTATGAGTGAGGGGACAGTTCTCCTGAAGTAGCTCATGGTCCAGTAGAGATTAAAGAGAGCAATGGGAAAGGTAAATTTGGGCAGTATTTACTAGGCGCCATGCTAAGCTATTGCCCCATTGATTCTCACAGCAAGCCTGTGAGCTAGTGTTATCACTACTTTACAAATAGCAACACAGCCTCACACAGATGGTCTCTTGCCCAAGGTCATCAGAGGAGCCAAGAACCAAATTCAGGGAAGGCTCTTTCTGAGGCCACCCTCTTTCTATAACAGTGCCTGGACTGCATGTCACTGTAGTGAATGCAGTGTGTGTGGTGGAGGGAGGGCAGAGGCAGGGGGAGGGGAGACTTTCAGGCAGTAAGATGAGAAACAGTTCAGTCTAACTGTTGGGTAAGTCTGGAACACAAATTGTGGGGCTGGGAGTAGTAGGTGAGGAGGCTGTAGGGTCAAGAATGAGCGGTACCAGCTAGGAGCTCTGATCTCCCCCTGACCCAGGGAAAGCCCTTGGTGCCATAGGGCAGTGGTTCTCAGAATCAGGGTGTGGGGGTGGTTAAGAATGCAGATTCCCTGTTAGTGTTTTAAATCCCATGGTTACGTTGTGACTGTCGCAATTACATAGCTTTGATTGTTAAAAAAAAACAAGCACAAAACATTCTCTGATCCCATTCCCAAGAATGTTGAGTCAATAGATGTGGAAAACAGCATCAGGAGTTTGTATTTTTAATTAGCTTTCTCAGAGATTGTTACAGGTGGTCTAGCAAACTTTTCTGAAGTTCCTTTAGGTTAGCTCTGTGCGGTTTTAGGAGAATTGGTTGTGCCATTTACCATTTCAATGGCTGTTGGTGCAGCCAGGCATTTCCTGTACACAATGGATGGGAAGCCGGGCTAGCTGGAGAGACTAATGATGCCAGTGAAGAGTCCCCAAGGAGATCCTTGCCTCCAGGGTTAGCTGCTGGGAAAGAAGGAGGGAGGAGTTTGGGCTTTTGCAGTGAGTGATGGGTCTGGTATTTCCTGCACAGCCATTTCTGGACAATTAACGTCCAGCCCAGCTATTTTTCTTGGTTTGTGAACAGCAGGAAGAGAGCGGGCCCTGTAGCCCCGGTGGGACCATGCCGGAGGGTCTGTTCGGCCTGTTGCACACAGGTTGTTCATGGTAGGTGCTCAGCACCTCCTGTGTCCTGTGCAAACAAAAATCTGCAGGATTCAACTTAATGCATCGAGGAAATCCAAAAGGTTGTTCTGGCCCTTGTGTCTTGCTGAAATCCCTTAATTATCCTTTGAAAGTGATGGCTGGCATGTAAGGGCATTGGGCCTGCCCTGGGCCTCTGTGGGGCTTGGCAAGCTCCACTGAAATAGTCCACAGCTTGTCATCAGGGCCTAAGTGTCAGGTGTGGGTCGGGAATACGTTGCAGTGATTATGAAGTATTTGTGGAACTTGCCCGATAACAGCTTCCCCCCCCCCACCCCCCTCTGGCTGCCTTTATGAGGGAAGGGTCTCTGTAAATGGCATGGGGGATGTTTGTAAGTGCCCAAGTGCCTTCTAAGGCAGGAGAGACTGAATGATTAGAAAACGGTGCTGGGGTTGGGAATGAAAGTGGTGTGCTAGTGGCTGAGCTATGGAGAAAAATCAGGCTGAGCTCTTGGCTTTTCTTTTACCTCTTTATTTTAATCTCTTTTTAAAATGTGCTTTTAGTCACACAAGTAACACATGAATTCATTGCTGGGCAGAGAAAGCAAACAAAATAGAAGCATATGAAACAAAACGTAAAGTTCCACCAGGGCCCCCATCTCTTCCCACCTCAGGGCAGGTGTCATGATTGGGATCAGTTTGATGCATCTTTGCAGACATTGTTTGTGCCTTTACAGACAGCTCTCAGTATGTGTGCACACATAGAGAGCTCTTTGGTTTATATGAAGAAATGGGTACCTACTCTAGGAGGAGAAACTGACTTGCAGTTTTTCACTTGGCGATCTACTCTTGATAATGTTTTCAAGAGTCAGTGGATGGGAGGAACTTGATTTGACTGGATAGGCCCCTGCTGACAGACATTGAGGTTGCTTCTGGTGGTTCTACTATAAATGCAGAATAAATGCTATAAATGCCTTGGGCATCCTTTCATTGAATCTCATATAGTGGGGTTTTTTTTCTTTTTTTTTTTTTTAAAGATGTTTGTTTATTTTGAGAGAGGGAGAGAAAGTGCCAGTAGGGGAGGGGCAGAGAGAGAAACGAGCAAGAATCCCAAGCAGTCTCTGCACGGTCAGCACAGAACCCGATGCGGGACTGGAACTCATGAACCAGGAGATCATGGTCTGAGTCGAAGTCGGCTGCTTAACCAACAGACCCACCCAGGTGCCTCTTGTACAGCATTTTCTTAAGATGGACTCCAGGTGGGGGAATTTACTGGGTCAGAAGACCTCTGCATTGTGCTTTTTGGCAGATATTGCCACGTTGCCCTTCAGACAGATCATACCAACCTCTGTGGCCCCTAGCTGTGGTCTGTAGTGCCCATAAGCTGGCAGTTTGTGCAGGCATTCGCACACCTGTGTCCTCGGCCATCTTGGGTCTGGACTCTGTGGCTCTGAGTCAGACAGCTTTGTCGGGTCAAGTGTTTTCTGGGACTGCTGGCTTTGGGCTTTGTGGCTGCTGCTGCCAGATCACTAAAGGGACAGGTCACATGGGGGCACTTACTCACCAAGGCAGTCACTCAAGTCCTGTCCCTGCCCTGGAGCATTGACTAAGGTAGAAGAGTGCCCCTCATGAGGGTTATACACACCTACCTTCAGGCTGTTTGGGAGCCACAGAGGACAAATATGAGACATTTAGAATTTCAGTCAACTGTTGAGTGTCCGCTCCTTAAAAAGGCCTTCCACAAGGTTCCCTTGCCTCACTATCTCCTTCTTAGCCCTCTGTTTGTTTCTTCCAAGCACTTATCCCAATTTGTAACTTTTGTATTGCTCACTGGTTTCTCTCTCTGCCTCCCCTTCTAGCATGTAAGCTTCTTGCTGACTGTCCTTCCCACTGCAGGGTCCCCAACTGCCAGCTTTGTTTAGCAAGCACTTGTTGAATGAATGAATGAAACAAAGATAGCCAGGGAGAACATGGTGTGATTAATGGCCAAGTATGCAGAGTAACCACTGGAGAAATCTAGAGGGAACCTTTGTTGTCGTGAGTGGTCAGGGAAAGCGCTGGGGAGCAAGGAGTATCAGCTGGGCCTTTCACACGTGGAGAGTGTAAGGTCTGGGAAGTGGGCAGGCTGACGGCCAGATAATCCCCCTGGCTGAGGTTAGTGACTCGCAGCTCTGTCCCTAACCCTTCTCCAGCTTCTGCCAGACCCTGGTCTCTGTGGCTGGTAAAGCCCCTACCTACGTCCTCCACAGCTCAAGCCAGACCCACTTCCATCTGACCTACAGTCAGTGCTGTCACTGAGATGTATGGCATTTGGGGACACCCACAGCTGGCTTTTTTCAGCTCTTCTAGCTGGAATGATGTCTTAAAATTCCTTGATCCTTCCTCTCCCCTCCCCCCCTTCTCCCCGGGCAAGACCAAGCAAGCTGTCCTGGAAAGAGATGAGTATGGATTTTCAGCAGGCATCAGGAGCCCAGTCCATCATGGCTGAATGCAGAGAGCACCTTGACCCACAGATTTTAAGTCCTGCTCTGTTTGAGTTGGTCAGTGCCACACTCTGTTATACAACAATATATATTGGTAAATTCTTAGTTACACTGGCAGGTAAACCAGTGACTTAGGCTCCATCCTTTCTCCTTGGGGCCATTAAGTATTTTTCAGCATGTGGCATGGATCATTTGTTAATTAATTATAATTGTGCCTCAGAGTCAGTAACCAGGAAATGACAACAGTAAAACATCCATAGGGCATGTCTGTCTGTCTGTGTGTGTGTGTGCGCACACTCATGCACATGTGCAAGAAAGACAAGGGAGGAGAAAAGATTGAGATAGATTGGTTGGTTGAGGTCTTCTTCTACTTCCTCATGGTATGATATTCAGCAATTGACTTCTCTGGGTTGCAGTATTCTTTTTTTTTTTTTATGGGCAGAAAACTTTTTATTTAGTTTTTAATTTTTTTTAATTTTTAATTTGAATCCAAGTTAACATACAGTGTAATAATGGTTTCAGGAGTCAAATTTAAGGATTCATCACTTACATATAACACCCAGTGCTCATCCCAACAAGTACCCTCCCTAATGCCCCTTGCCCATTTAGCCAAGCCCCCCACCACCACCCCACCAGCAACCTGTTTGTTCTCTGTACTTAAGAATCGCTTATGATTGTCTTCCTCTCTGTTTTTATATTATTTTTGCTTCCCTTTATGTTCATCTGTTTTCTATCTTAAATTCCACATATGAGTGAAGTCATATGATATTTGTCTTTCTCTGACTGACTTACTGGGTTGCAGTGTTCCTAAAACCAGGGATGACAACCCAGCCTCCCTGAGTGTTTAGAGGTTTGGGCATGTGTAGGTCCTATTGCCGTGATCCTATGTTAACATGAGAAGTAGCACTGGTGACCCGCTTTTCAAATCCCCAGAGCAAATTCCCAGGGAAACATTCAGACCAAACAAACTTCTTCTGTTTTTTCTTTTCTTTTTTTTTTTTTTTTTAACTCTTCTTCTGCAAGTCAGCAGCCAGCAGAAGAAAACAAGGCATCAAGGGTTATATATAAACAAAAAGTAATCAAAAAGTAATATGTTTAAACTTAGCTTTTTTTTTTAATGTTTTATTTATTTTTGAGAGAGAGAGACAGCATGAGCAGGGGAGGGTTAGAGAGAGAGGGAGACACAGAATCCAAAGACAGGCTCCAGGCGCTGAGCTAGCTGTCAGCCCAGAGCCCTATGTGGGGCTCGAACCCACGAACCGTGAGATCATGACCTGAGCTGAAGTTGGACACTCAACCGACTGAGC